AATGATAAGGTTTCTCTTTGGAATGTGTTTGCATATGTTTTTTGAGAATACTTGACATGGTGAAACTTTTCCCACATTGCTCACAAAGATAAGGCTTTTCATTGGTATGTCTTCTCATATGGTATTTGAAAGTATTTTTCGATGCAAAACCCTTCCCACAATGCTCACAATAAGGTTTTACATCAGTATGTGATTGTCGATGCTGATTGAGACCACTACTTGTGGCGAAACGTTTCCCACATGGCTCACAATGGTAAGGCTTTTCATTGGTATGTGTTCTCTTATGGAATTTGAGAGTATTTTTCGCTGCAAAACTCTTCCCACAATGCTCACAATGATAAAGTTTCTGCATGGAATGTGTTTGTAAATGCTTTCTGAGATAATCACGTGTGGTGAAATTCTTCCCACATTGCTCACAAAGGTAAGGCTTTTCATTGGTATGTGTTCTCTTATGGCATTTAAGAGTATGTTTCACTGCATAACTTTTCCCACAATGCTCACAATGAAAAGGTTTCTCATTGGAATGTGTTAGCATATGATTTTTGAGAGCACTTGGCGCAGTGAAACTTTTCTCACATCGCATGCATTGATGAGGCTTTTCATTGGTATGTCTTCTCATATGGCATTTGAGAGTATTTTTCGCTGCAAAACTCTTCCCACAATGCTCACAATGATAAAGTTTCTGCTTGGAATGTGTTTGTAAATGCTTTCTGAGATAATCACGTGCGGTGAAACTCTTCCCACATTGCTCACAAAGGTAAGGCTTTTCATTGGTATGCGTCCTCATATGGCATTTGAGAATATGTTTGTAGGTAAAACTCTTGTTGCATTGCCCACAATGATAAGGTTTTACAGTGGTATGTAATTGTACATGCTGTTTGAGATTACCTGCCTGGTAAATTTCTTCTGACATTGCCCACAATGATAAGGTTTTACAGTGGTATGTACTTGTACATGCTGTTTGAGATTACCTGCCGTGGTAAATTTCTTCTGACATTGTTCACAATGATAAAGCTTTTCATTTGTATGTGTCAACATGTGCCGCCGGAGTTCACTAGGCCGGGTGAACCTCTTCTCGCATTGCTCGCAACAATAAGGTTTTCCATTGTTATGTTTTAACATATGGTTTTTGAGATAATTTGATGTGATAAAACTTCTTTTACATTGTTCACAATGATTTTCATTTGAATGTACTTGTATATGCTGTTTGAGATATTTAGGTGTGGTGAAACACTTTCCACATTGCTTACAATGATAATGTTTCTTGTTGGAATGTGTTTGCATATGACAATTAAATTGACTTGGCTGGATAAGATTCCCACATTGCTCACAATGATGTGACTCCATATTTACGATATTTACCTATTGAAAAAGTTGGAGCAGTTCCACAAAACTTAAAGTTGTCAGTCAGTTGATTGCTATTCTCCTTGTTTAGTTGATTGTTGTCAGTCATTTGTCAGCATACAACTTCTGTTAACAGATCTAGGATCGAATGGGTATGTTATTTCCACTTTCCACATGTACACTTCTTAATTGTAGCATTTTCCAAGGTGATGTTGTTTCAAGAATGCTGGAACACTAGAAAAACAAAAACATTTATTAAAACAAGAATAATTTTACCAAAGCTCAGTTTGACATTAATACACAATAATATTTCAATATTTTAAAAACTGTTTGAACATACATATCCCATAACTTTCATTGTCATGGCAACCAGTCTATTTGTACACTGACTCCAGCATGTTTACTACATTAATTTATGACAGCAGCTATTTGTTTGGTTGAATTATTACCAGTCATTGAAATATAAATCAAAATATGTGCAATAAGGAGACAGAATGAAAAGATTGATTTGAATTTGAACGCTGATCAAGCCAGTAATTTTACTGTAAAGCTTCTCACTGCTTGCATTTTAACAACATGTGGATAGCAGATTTTAGAACCCAGATAAAGTTCTTGTGACAATTCCATTTATGTCATTGTTCCAGTTGCTCTGAAATGAACATTTATGAAAAAAAAAACGAATTTAAATAATAAATCATATTGTAAATAGAAATATGAATACAGAGCCCGAATAACAAAATCCTGTACTGAGATTTATTAGATATCAGTGAAAACGCCAACAAAAATCCAGCTCACAAATACAATTTAGAAAACTAGTACCGGTAGTCTTGTGATGATTCAGCATTTAGTATGTCAGTACTATTTCAAGACCGTTATATTAATTTTGCCTCGATTTAGTTGACTGGTACACTTCTTGCCCTGATGTATAACATTTTCAACAGCTTTTTAATACATGATTGACAAAATTTAATAACACAAGACCAGCATTGTTGTAAACATGGCGACGTGAATTATCCTAGAAAAATAGAGTCACTATCGGAAATAATTGCAGTGTCCCAGTAAAAGTCATTTCGGTTTCTTAATTATACATTCAAGAAAATTACTATGAAGATAATCTATACATCCAAATAATCGTTACTTTTCTAAAATATGGTCAATTTTGGCTAAAAAATATATTATTTGGCAACTCCAAGTATTAAAAACTCCCTCGTTTCCGGGTGATTCGATCTAAACTGAATAAAGAGAATGACTAAAATGCACGCAAGACCGAGGATTCCCGATGTGTGTACTTGCCATTTGTCAAAATTTGGCAAAGCTTGGGCGCAGTCGAGACACACGTTTACCGTTAAACTTTATACCCTATTTTACGGTTGGCCCGAACACACGGCACACTTAGAGGTGAAGAACCAATCACAAAACTGGTTACGAACCAGTTGAGCAAGGCTAACAGAGTCGTAACCTCGATGTGGTTCGTAACCAGTCTTATGATTGGTTGTTAACAAATTTTGAACAGGCCACACCTCCAACTGTGTCATGCGTTCGGGCCAACCGTTAATTTTTCAGAAATGGAGTAAATTTGTGTAGTTTTCTTGATTTATTCTGCAGATATCGGTAAAATATGCCGAAATTTGAAAGAGCAACTAATATTCTTCAACCTGGTATTTTTTTTATAGATTTTATTTTTCATTCTGTTAGTCTGTTTTTTCTAGTTTAAAAAATATGAACTCGCTGGAGCCTTCATCCCTTGTCTATTTCGTACACTAGATACCAGCCGATACCCCCCCCAAACCCCCACCCCTGCCTCATAGAAACTGCATTCTCGCTGTCGGAGCTACATCACGATCCCCCAAACGTTGCCAGGACCAATCACAAACAGGAAAAGACAATGAATTTTCGGATTAACCCCCCTGTTTTCCCACACGCAAACCAAATTTCCCCCACGCTAAAGAAAAAAATCTTTTGTTTTCCACTGACTTCCTGTTCCGGTCCGTCTGTAAGAATACAGTTGATCATAGTTTCTGGGCTTCCTGTGGTTTATCAAGACAAATGTTGCACATGCGCAGCGCGACGATTGCCGCCCTTTAAGATAGAAGCCTACTCATAATTGTTGAGAGGTTGGTCACAAATCGCTTGACAGTGTTCAGTGGTTTATTATGTAAAATCATGGAGCCCATGAAATAGCATTCCTTTTTTTGCTATTCCATAAAGCACGCTATCGATTTTAGCTTGTTGAAAAGAGACAGACAAAAAATCATTGAGAGTGGTACAATAATAGTCACTGAAGAAATGCTCCAGAATTACGTGTATAAACAACCTACCTGGACGATACACCGAAACAAAACGCAATTCAGGGTCAAAGGTTACAATGTACCACTTGGCATACTGATTATTCTTCTGTATGTATTTATTTCTCTGCGGTACAACATTTGGATCGTGTTTAGCATCGAGCACTAAAAATGAGAATCCACTCGTTTTTTATCATGAAATTTATTCGTACAATTTACTGCTTGTTGATAAATAACGTCATTTCTTTCGAAAACTGTGGTATTCAACTCCCTAGCTCAATTAATATGACCAAACACGTTAAGTCACGCGAGAATTGGTCCCTGAATATCACGCCAGGAAATCCAGAAATCTCTCTCTTTTTGCCCGCTGCTGAAATATCACCGTAAGTGTGTATTGGTCTGTGCGATCCTTTTTATGTTTTCGCATGCTTTGAAACACCCGATTAACATAAGACCAACAAAAATGACACTGATATTATTTTAGATGTCATGTCGAACCTCTAGTTTTGCAATTTTCACTCCTCAGTTGTCGAAAATTAAATGTTTTCGTGTGGCTTCATGCCGTACATCCCAATTTTCAAGATGGCTGCCCCCATGTGTACAAAATAAAATGCTGTCTATTCTGTCAGGATAAATTATGCCGCCCTTCTGACTAACTACTATGCAGCATATATACATTTTTTAAAATTTCCCATAAGGTAGGACAGGTAATTAAGTTACCCTTGGAAGAATGGATTCGTTCTTTTAAATATTTATGGGGTCTGTGCCTGGTAAGCAGTTGTGCAACGAAACAATAATTACGTAATGACATGCTTTAGATCAATCACATGGTACCTACGCATATTTTAATAATGTGTCACTCATGACTAAGTTGCCACTTCTCTAAAATTACTGAAATTTTAGATGAAAGTTTATTGTTGAAGTATGTTCAGAAAAAAACTGAATTTCTCAGTAAACCAAATTAAAAACGCGCAATTCAGTTAATCCCACCTTGCATTAAATTAATTACTTGTCCCAAGACGTGAATAAAACTGCATTTATTACTTGGAATTGTGGTCACAATGGGCAGATGTAAGAGTTCCTCATGGCCCCTCCCCCATTTAATTGTATATAGTTATCGGGGGGGGGGGCATATATATTGGGGTGTGCCTAGAGTGTTTGGCTTAAGGTTTGATGTGGTGGCTTAAGAACCTCATGAAGAAAAAAGCAATTAAAACAAAATTTAAATCGTACCTACCCTACATGTTTTTGCCTTACTCTGTTTGCAAAGTGACTAACATATAGTAATCGGCTTTGCGGTAGTTCAATACCATTTAAACATGGAAAAAATAGATCACCGTAAATCATTCACAAATTGTTGTGATGATTCACATACATGCACGTCATTCATATTTTAAGGTTTAATTGAGAAAGGAAGTTTTTCCAAGAAAACGTGCAAAATAATCTCAAGAGTCCATTTTGGAACCTTTTTTCATAGGATTCCATGTAAGCACATTACATAGATATAACTTGTACTAATATTCAAAATTCTCCAATTTTTCGTGACAGCCATATGTGTAGCCCTCATAACGCTACATAAATTTTATTTTAGCATAGGTCACCAAACAAAATTTTGAGATGATGGAATGTTTCTGTCATAGGAACTAATTGTAAACTATTCAAAAAACGCATTTTTGATAAATTTATCAGATTGTTTTGTGACCCATATTTTTATTTCAAAATTTGGAACATTACAGTAACAGCCATATTGTTCTGAACACCGAAACATCAACATCTCCAGCTAAGTTGCTGATTGATGTGTTATGCATGTCTCAAGATTGATACATGATTAGAACTGGTTAGTTCAAACCCTTTTAGAAGGTTGTCGTTCGGCTAAAATTACACGCTCTCCAAGCACGCTAAGCAAACCAATCGGCAACTTAGCTGGCAATTTTGCTGTTTTAGTGTTGGTGGTGGCAGCAACAACGCAACTAGAATGTTGATTTGCATTCTTTCATTTAGATGGTGGGTGTAACAGTAAAAGACGTGGAGCAGGATGTCTTCGTCAAAGCCTTTGCTGCTTTTCTCAAAAAGTAAGTACATCATTTTACTGCCAGTGTTCTAGGTTTAACTTTTTCATGACTAGTTCCCCTCTTTACATCAGAAATTGACAAATATAGTAAACACATATTGCATGGCCATGAGGGCACTAGTATACGTCTATTTCCCTGAGGCCGCAGGCCGATTGGAAACAGCAGGTATTGTTGGTACCCCACAACCCCAACAAATAAATCAAATAGTTTGATTTTTATATCGCATGGTCATAACTTCAGTATTTTTTAATGGTCACAGTGTTCTCCCCAGGCCTTTCAAGGACTGCGGGCCCGCGTCGCTTAGACAAACAGCCGCGTCGCTTTTGTTTCGCCCGCGATCCTTGAAATCCTGCCCGCGATGCTTATTCACGTTGTATTGTTTACAAGTGTCAGCCTCGTCTAGCACATCTTTAAAACAATAACATGTATTGATCGAAAGGTAATCCCGCCTTTGTACATAGTTAGCCTTACAAAAACAGTGATAAAAACGGAAGTCTACAAGAAGTTACCAAGTCTATCAAGGGTGCGGAGCTGGCAAACCCAAAATACTAGGGTAGTAATAATTTGCCAATTGCGTCGGGATGGTCTATCCCCAGTTGCTGCACTGCGATTAATTGCGTTTTTACTACTTCATCGCCAGTGACACTAATTACCAAGAATTAAAAAAACAAGTGAAATTAAGTCGCATCGGAAAAAAAAGCTGTAAATAAATCGAAGTAAAAATTATTCAACTGCAGACGAGACGGACGAGGAAAAAACGAACCCTGACCTCTAGAAATACCTCATTCATAGTGCGTCATTACCGAGGAACGCCACCCTAAGGCGACGTAACGCATGTAGTGACATCACAACCGATGCATGCTGGGTTACAACGGAGATTTTGATTGAGGTAACAAAAATGGCGGCGCAGAGTGCATGTTTTTCCGCGATGTTTAAAAACAACATTTCGTTGGCGATTTTGATGTAATTTCTAAGTTAATCATCAGTGAATCGTTTTAATTAAGCAAAAATTCTAAGTTTGTGTATTTTTAAACAAAAAAGTCAAGGACCGATGATCGCAACAGCAGCGGTGAATACCCGTTCAACGCAATGCCGTCAGCTGACAATGTTACGGTGATCGTAGCGTTACACAAATAATAGATAGATCAATGAAAAATCGCTGACTTTAGTTTTGAGATGCCGTTATAGAAAAAAATGTCATTATTGATTTATAATTTCTTCATACAGATTTTGCAAATTTAACAAACAAATGCAAACAAAATTATGCAAATAAGATGTATTGTTATGTAAATTAGCCGCGATGCTTGGCTTAGAGTCTGGGGAGAACACTGGTTTTGTATACAATACAAAGTGAAAATACAATTTAAGGCAATGTCTGTTATTGTTTTCTGTAGGCAATAGAAGGAGAAGGTGGTGATCCAGAGTATATTTCACTTGAAAAACAAACAACCCCTGGTAAGAGGACTCCAATAAGTAAGTGTTAAAACTAAATCAACTGTCTTCATCCTTACTAATTCATTCAATCATAAGTGTACATTACTCACATCAGTCATGTCTTTGTCCCACACTTATGTTCATTTTTTTTGTTCAGCAGAAAATTGAGTTCATATATCATTTTCATGTACCTAGAATTACATTTTT